TGCTCTCTATCCCATTTGACTTAGGGCTGCAGAGAATGCGGTAAAATGATGAGTTCTGTAATCCAACTTCTGCTGCAATCTAGTCTAGACGACCACGAATTCTCGCGATGCCTGGCTCAGAATAGTGAAATGGCAAAGACAAGTTTCATCTTCATTTCAGCATGGGCAGGACAACCGTTAATGCGCAAAAACGCTCTGTTTACACGTGTTTGGAATTTTTCAAATACTTCATATGTAGGCCCACATTTGGTTGCCTTATTCCGGTCCAACTTTTCCCCAAATTTAGTGATCAAAGAAAGGCAAGCAGCATTAAAAGCTCTTATGTGTTTGCGTAGAGGATCTGTTCCGAGCCATTTTTTGGAGTCCATTACATTTTATAAAATGTGCTCTGCCCGAAAAAGTCATCTTACAACAAACACTAGCTAAAGCTTGACGTGCAAAACATGTTAATACAGAGTTTCGAGACTACCAGTAAATCAGTTATATGAGATGGTTTCAACCTATTTCGTTTAAGGTGATGAAGGACTGGTACCTGAATTTTCCCACAATGAAATGAGAAGAGCTGATGCTTCCATTTAATTTCACATGGCCTCGTTTTCTCAAAAGGTGTTCTTGTATGGGCAGGAGTGGAGTGCAGTTTCGATCTCGCATAGGCCTTGTCAACATTCCCAGCGGGAGTCGAACAATGACAGTGTTTAATTCTTCACGTAAACATTTATACCACATTTCCACAAGCTTCCTTGGGTCAAAGGGCAGATGTGAATGTCAAGGAACGTCAGGCGTTCCCCCATATCATACTGATTGGTAGGAAATAGGGGGAATACACCTCCTATAACTGATTTACTGGTAGTCTCGAAACTCTGCTTATAAACGAAAAATAAGAAATGTTGTCGATTGTCATAGCAAATATAACTTTGCTTCTTCGACACTCCCAACGAATAATGTGATATGGGAAAATACCTGGCATTGAAATTCACATCTGCCCTGTGACCCAAGAACACTTGTGGCAATGTGGCAGAGTCGTTGTTGTGTCGAGCTTACATACTGCACTGTCACGGTTCGACTCCCGCTGGGGGTGTTGATAAGACCGATGCGAGTTCGAAACTGTTATCCACCCTGAATAATAATAATTTTTGGGATAACTAGGCTATGTGAAATTTAATGGAAACGTCAGCTCTACTCATATTATTGTGGGAAAATTCTACTCCCAGTTTTTCATCACCTTAAACCAAATAAGACAAATACATCACATATGTTAATACAGAACTTTTATTTTCCTGCTCTAGAATGTAGAAAAAGTAGTTTAGTTAAAGCTTTTAATACCCTCTTTAAGTCAATATGCCAGCCCATCTCCGGGCTTCTTTACACAAAAAAGATTCACCTTCGAACAAGTTTGTATCTTATCTGCTTTACAGACTTTCAGACAGCAGGCAACGAAAGTAATCATGCCTTGATATGCCGCTTAATAACCTAATGAACTAAGAATCAACTATGCTATTTAGTATCGAGAGATGCTACAGTTTACCTTGAAAAACACAAGAAGCACCAATATTTGATCAATAGCCCTTAAACCTGGCCTGAATATTCGCATGCCTTTTATTTTTATTCATGTTATAGCTCTCTCCTAAAGTTCTGCATTGATAATAAATGTCATGACGGAAAGAAATAAAAATAAGGTATAAAGATCAAGATGGTGTGACCTTATGTATGGTCGTGGTCTCCTTTCGTTGTATATAAATTGTTTGACTTTGTTCTCGCAACTTGATCATATTGGCAAGAAGACCGAGAGGAACGCATCTTGTCCGGAGTCCATATTATGTATGATAATTTCTAGACTCGGACCGTTGACTTGGTATCTTCCTCGGAGCAATCAATTTTGCTGTGTTGGCAAGTAGGAAAGAGAGGTAACCTTTCAATCAGGATCGTATGAATATTCCTTTTGGATAGTAGTGACCGCAGCTTCTACCATAGTTCGTAGGAGAGTAGAAATATCAATAGTTTTTCCTCTGTCCTCCTTGATTTCCTTCAACAATCCTCATTCTGCCATCTGCTCATCACGTTCTGTATGTTGCGTTGAATTGCTTCCTCTGGACATCCCTCTCCAAAAATTATCTGGATTAGTTTTTTTTCATTCTTTTTTTTTAAGTTCAGTATCACTCAGTCGTGGGCTTCTAATGACCATACTCCTGAGTATTACCATCTTCAGTCTGTATGTTTGGTTTCTTAGAAACGGCACTTTCTTAAAAGCAAATAACGTCCACATTCAAATAAGGAAAGTGTTCGTCTTTCTCCCAAACCGATGTAAATTTGACCTTTTTTTCTCTAGCTAGCTTAAAAAGATCAGAAAATCGTCTACTATTTATTTTATATTCTACCATCGATTGCATTCGGTTGGTTGACTGTTTGATGATCACCGATTTACTGCCTGTTATTCTTGACGAATACATGTTATGCTTGTGGTAATAATGCGGTATGCCTTGGGAAAACATTATAACATTTCAGATATAGCTGAAAAAAACGCATAAAGACGGGCCAAACCAGTATTGCTGTTATATTGAATTACCGCCACAACTCTGTGACGGCGTTTTATTTCGCGTGATTTCTGTCAGTATGACGAGCTCCCAGGGTAAAATGTGGCTATATTAGTGTGTATATATGTATTTATCTAATGTGGTTGATAAGGGAAATAAGGCTCATTATTAGATGGCTAGGTTGAAATACCCAATCCTACCATTAAATTTCTTAAAGTCCTAATCTCTTTAATGTAAATATAATTCGAGTGAAAGTCATAGAACTATAATGATTTACTAAAAAAAATCATAGTACATCATCTAGACCATAGCAATCTGATGGTCTCCTTGCTTATTTGTTTCCCGCATCCTTTCTGTCAAGTCTATCTGGTTGACAAGTGGCACAGCCTGCTCAGTGTTATTCGCAAGTCTCCGCCCTCTGAATTGCCAACAAGAGGGAACTCTGCTGGGACCGAGGCGTTGGAGGCAGGCCATTTAACTACCCTATTCATTCCAGTTGGACCAAGTCTATACGAGCCCTTGCTTTATGCTAGCAGCAATAATTGTGCAATTCAACTCAATCTCCAGCCTCAGGTACAGCAGCAGGTACTACATAGTAGTACATATTTAATTGGGGCTATAAACTTCCAGATGTATTTATATGTTAGCGAAATATGGAATAATGGAGGAAAAGTGGAAATTGCTATATTACC